CGCATACGGAACAAGACTGATCCTTGTGCAAATGTCAAGGCTCTAACTTTAGACGTTTCGTCTTGGCGTTGGTTCTCAGTCAGTCAGTCAGCCAGTTATTTCACTGGTCTTTTATGTATACATCATTCGGTAAAACCGACTGATACTTTTTAAATTTTTTTAAATATAGTGCATTTTTGAAATATATTTTTTAACAATCGCGTATGTATTAAACAATGTTTTTCAAGCAGCTATTTGGCTGCAGAGGGTATATATCATATGATACGGCAAACACGTGCCTCTTGGAATAAATAGGTGCCTTTGTACCAATTCCTTCAGGACCTTTGGAGTCGATCTAGAAACGTCCGTCCGACTGTCTGGCTGGCTGGTGCGCACGAAGGGAGTATCCGAATTGATCCAAACTTGGTACATCGTAATACTATTATCAAACTTAGATGGGCAAAATCGGTTCACTCCTTCTGGTACCTTCCCCACAAAATGTAAACATTTTCAAAGAAAATAATTTACTGCACAGAAAGGGAAAAAAGATAATCCGATTTTGACCCAAATTTGCATATCCTAATAGTTGCATCAGTGCTAGGTCAAGTGTGAAAATGGACAATATCGGTCCACTCTATCAAGTACCTACCCCACAAATGGTCAAAATTTGAAATAATTATAACTCTATTAAAACGTGATGTAAAAGTCCGATTGTCTTCAAAGTACGCACATCACAATATTTTTATAAACCCAAGGTCTGGTGTAAAGATGGGATATATCTGTCCACTGCTTCCGGTACCTCCCCCACAAAGGGTAAATATGCTAAATATTTATATCTTTCCTAAAATGTATCAACACTATTTTTCAGACTTGATTCTCATATCAAATTTCAAGGTTCCTTCTCTGTCCGTTTATATAATTCCAGATGCTACTAAATTTAGTGCGTTTTAGTACTTCTGGTACACATATTCCTAAAATTTCGATAAACACTTTAGTTTGTTTATCCTACGCAACATCAAGGACTCTCACTCCAATATTCAGATTTCTTGCTCTATTTCTTCCCCAAGTACCAAAGTTAATACTATTTAGTAATTTCCGTACTTTTTAGTAGGCATTTCCAAGTTGCCCGTCATATATCAACCAAATCGCACAAAAGATGACCCTAATTCCAAATTTTAGACCTTCAACTCAATTCCTTACCCAAAATACCAAATTTAGTGCCATTTAATACCTTTCATACATCTACGGTACATATTTCCAATACCACCTTAATATCTCAATACTACACACCAATTCCCAAACACCAAAATTCGGAAATCTAACTATATCTACGATTAATACTAAATTTTGCAAACCCAATTTCAGGCTTCCAACTCCACCGGTTTACCCAAAATTTAAATTGTACCAAATTTAGTGTCATTTAGTACACAAAAGTACGAATTTCCAAAATCACCTATGCCATAGTAATCTTAGTTCCAAATTTCAGGATTCCAACTCTATTGGTTCACCCAAATTCAAATTGTACCAAATTTAGTACAATTTAGTACCGTTCCTGTACATAAGTACAAATTTATACCCCAATCGATACCTCAATCCTACACTCTGCAAGTAATGTTAATTTCAAATGTAAGGAGTCCAACTCCATCCGTTTCTCCAAATTCAAATTGTACCAAATTTAGTACAGTTTAGTACTTTTCGTATTAATGAGTACACCCTTAACTACCTCCTTACATCAACCCTACTCCTCAACCTTCATTCCCATTCCAAATTTCAAGTTTTTAGCTCTAACGGTTAACTTCATACGAAATCGCACCAAATGTAGTACATTTTAGTACCTTACGTACACTTATGGTGCGAATTTCCAAACTCCCTTTGGTAAATCCATCACTCACTCAATTAGTGACCCTTATTCCATATTTAAGAGTTCTTGCTCTACTGGTTCGTCAAATACAAAAGGTATCATATTTAGTACCTTTTAGTACTTTCGTACCGTCCTACTGCAAATTTTTCGAAAACCCAGCCTTTTTTGACCCCTTCGGACCAAGAGTGACCCTCACCCAAAATTTCAAAATTCTAGATTCAGGGACTGATCTCTTTCTTTTTGGGGGTCTTAGTTTAAAGCTCTTAATTCGGTGACCTCAAATGAGGTGGAATTTTGTATATGTTCTGCATTGACCAGGCTACAGGAATACGACTGTGATAACAGTTCTGTGGCAAGAGTTCTGCATCGACAGCTGATATCCCAATGCATTCATCTTGTTCTACATTTTCATTAAAAGTCCGCATACCGCATCGAACTATTCGATGCAACCAACCAACTTTGTTTTTCCAACCCAACAACGTTAAGTGACCAATTACAAAGTTGTTGCTGCTGTTGTTGTTTTCGTTGTGTTATCAAACTCTCACGAATCTGTTTTAAAATTCTTAAATTATAAAACGGTAGAATTATTTATTAAGCTACAAAATAAAAAATTATAAAATGTTATTACGCGATCGACGATGATCGACATGTGAGTGAGTCGGCGGCGACGAGTTCGTTCACAACGTTTGCCAATTAACATTGTGAATTAAACAAAAAACAAATACACAATACAAATTACGTTAGAACCGATGTGTGTGATTATAAATTACTACTATTACGTTATTACTATTACAACAATTGGCGATGTTGTTGTTATTATTTTTAGCGAGCGGTGCCTATCACGTTTTTCTGAGTTTGATGAAATAGTTTGGTTGGAACATCTTCTTATTTTTAATAATTGGTGGTGTTTAATTTGATTTAAATTGGAACTATCGGGAATTTGTAAAGCATTCATAAATTAGGGAAATTCTGGATGATTTTGTTGATTCATCTGAGCTTAATTAAGAAAATAATAGACGTTAGAGAAGGGTTTATTCAGGGAGTCTATTTAGATGAGATGAAGGAACGAAAAAGTCTATTTAAACGATCCTGGGGAGCTGCATAGACATGCTGAACCCTAGGTATGTTTTTTAGACGGGCTGAAGTTAAAGGCAGCTGTAAAGAAAAGATAGCAGTAAGAGAGTCGATATAGAGGGGCGTAAAAGCCAGGAAGACGAGAATGCCTTGGAACCTTCTACAAACGCGCTGAAGCCCAGGCAGGCTGCCTAAAACAACTGAAACCCAGACGACGAGCCGGCGGCTAGTGAAGTCTCTATAGGCAAGCTGGAGGCCAGGGAGTCCGTATAGGCGAGCTGGAGGCCAGGGAGTCTCTATAGGCGAGCTGGAGGCCAGAGAGTCTCTATAAGTGAGCTGGAGTCCAGAGAGTCTCTATAGGCGAGCTGGAGACCAGGGAGTCTCAATAGGCGAACTGGAGACGAGGGAGTTTCTATAGGCGAGCTGGAGACGAGGGAGTTTCTATAGGCGAGCTGGAGACGAGGGAGTTTCTATAGGCGAGCTGGAGTCCAGAGAGTCTCTATAGGCGAGCTGGAGTCCAGAGAGTCTCTATAGGCGAGCTGGAGGCCAGGGAGTCTCTTTAGGCAAGCTGGAGGCCAGGGAGTCTCTTTAGGCGAGCTGGAGGCCAGGGAGTCTCTATAGGCGAGCTGGAGGCCAGGGAGTCTCTATAGGCGAGCTGGAGGCCAGGGAGTCTCTATAGGCGAGCTGGAGGCCAGGGAGTCTCTATAGGCGAGCTGGATGCCAGGGAGTCTCTATAGGCGATCTGGATGCCAGGGAGACCCAGGCAGTCTCTATAGACGATTTGCAGCCCAGGGAGTCTCTTTAGTCGAACTGAAGAGCTGGGGTGTCACTACAGACGAGCTGAAGTTTATGGAGTTTATATAAACGAGTTGACAGCCAGGAAGTCTCTATAGGCGAGCTGGGGGCCAGGGAGTCTACATAAATGAGTTAGAGGCTAGGGAGTCTCTATAGGCGAGCTGGAGGCCAGGGAGTCTCTATAGATAAGTTAGAGAGTCTTTGTATAGGTGAGCTGGAGGCCAGGGAGAGTCTATAGTTGAGCTGAGGTCTATGGAAGTTATATAAATGAGTCGACGGCCAGGGCGTCTGTAAATGCGAGCTGGAGGCCAGGGGAGTCACTATAGGCGGGCTGGAGGTCAGGAAGTCTCTATAGGCGAGCTTAGATGAGTTAGAGGCCAGGGAGTTTCTATAGACGAGTTGAAGGCCAGAGAGTGTCTATAGATGAGTTGCAGCCCAGGGAGTGTCTATAGACGAGTTGCAGCCCAGGGAGTCTCTTTAGTCGAACTGAAGGCCTGGGGAGTCACTATAGATGAAGTGAAGTCCTGGGGAGTCACTATAGATGAAGTGAAGTCCTGGGGAGTCACTATTGACGAGCTGAAGCCTATGGAAGTTTTAAAGAAAAGCCGGCGACCAGAGAATCGATGAAGAAGACAACTTCAGATAGTCGATGTAGAGTTGACGGCCCCTCTCTATAGACAAGCCAAGGCCAAGCGATGAAGGGAGTCTCTTCATAAATACTGGAGTCTCTATAGACGAGCTGGAGCTGAGGGAGGCAGGGAGTCTCTATAGACTCCCAGAAGGGAGCCTTTATAGACTTCCAGAAGATAGTCGTTATGGACTCCCAGAAGAGAGTCGTTATAGACTTTCAAAAGAGCGTCGTTATAGACTCCCAACATGGAATCTTTATAGACTCCCTTAAGGGAGTCGTTATAGATTCTCAGAAGGCAGTCGTTATAGACTCTAAGGAGGAAGTCCCAGAAAGGGGATCTTTATAGCCTTGAAAGACTTCCAGAAGGTACTCTTTATATAATCCCAGAAGAGTCGTTATAGACTCCCAGAAGGGAGTCTTTATGGACTCCCAGAAGGGAGTCTTTATAGACTCCCAGAAGGGAATCTTTATAGACTCCCACAAAAGCGTCATTACAGACTCTCTGAGTGAGAAAGTTGTTATAAAATCTAAGAGAGGAGTTTTCATAGTCACCTTAGAGACATTTTCTTCTTGCTTGAATTTTGTCCTCTCTTTCCTGTGATCTCAGGAATGTCCCATTCTCCATCTAGCATTTTTTATAAATTCCATTACAAAAAAGCGTTTATTCAAACTGCGTCACACTTTTATGGCAATTTCGATTCATTCAAGAAAATCTAAATTTCAATCGCCTCTCATCCATATGTAACAGGTCCGCGATTAGTGTCATAATAAGCCATAATTATTTCAATTGATTTACAGTTAAAAAACTTGCAACGAATCTTCTAGTCAATCAAATAACGAAACGGCGACGAGCCATAACATTTGAATAGAATTGCAATTTGTTGGCGAACACGACATGTTTATGACGAAAATACGTCAGTAGTTTGAAAATCGGTTTTTAGGCTTAAAGGCCTATTTCCGCTTACGACGACAACAGCAGATATTGCGCATCACTAGGCCAGTAGTGGCAACAACAACAACGAAAATATCATGTTATCATCTCGGTATTGCATTACGTTATGGATGAATGGTTTTATTTGGAAATAGATATCGTGAAAACTAATTTTCATTTTCCGCCATAGTAGAACTTGCAGGTCTTCGTAGGGGAAATGCTCTGAAATGAAGAGTATTTGAATAAAATTCGAAAATTTTTGGCTGGTATTACCTTTCTTCGGGCGCCACAAATACTAAACAGAACACCGAATTTAGGAGATGAACTATTCCAGCTATTATGCTTGGCAATGTCACACTCTTAACAATGGATATGGCATCATTGCCACAGTCCTCAATGGCATAAATATAGAAAATGGACCAGATTTGTAAAATACCCACCACCAAGTTATAGGCAATGGTCTGTAAATGGAGAAGGTTTGAATAGAAACCAAAATTTTATTTTGGGACAGCGCCGTCTTACCCCTTGATCGGAACCAAAAGTACATGTCTTGATGAACATTGCCACACCAATACATGTGAGAAATGCAATATCTGGTACCACAGATAGCATTATGAGTTGTAGATGTGACCCTACTTTATCGGTTATTTCCCAGCCAGCAATGCAATGGGAATCGAACTGGCTATAAAGCGTTTTGATGTCCCAAATTTTTAAAATCTGAAATTTGAAATAATTGTTTTTGTAGATATCTTCAAATGAAATTTAACTTACAATAGCTGTCATGAAGAATACCAAACTGATCGCCTTGGTCACAATAAGCGGCAGTGAAGGCCATTTGAGGGGCATTTAAAAGAAGTGCTAGATTTGATTATATATTTTTAATTTTATATTTTGAGTCAAAATGTCAATGAGAATTTAAATAAAAAGTAAAAAAATCGAAAACCAAGTTTAGTGATCGGAGAAAATCGATTTTTATGTTTATGGCATAAATCGACGAGTTGAAAGTCAGGGAGTCTCTATAGACCAGTTGAATGTCAGGAAGTATCAATAAAAGCCCTGGAGGCCAAGCAGTCTCTATAGACGGGCTGGAGGCCAGAGAGTCTCTATAGACGAGCTGGAGGCCAGAGAGTCTCTACAGACGAGCTGAAGGCCAGGGAGTCTCTATAGACGAGCTGGAGGCCAGGGAGTCTCTATAGACGAGCTGGAGGCCAGGGAGTCTCTATAGACGAGCTGGAGGCCAGGGAGTCTCTATAGACGAGCTAGAGGCCAGGGAGTCTCTATAGACGAGCTGGAGGCCAGGGAGTCTCAATAGACGAGCTGGAGGCCAGGGAGTCTGTACAGACGAGCTGTTGGCCAGGGAGTCTCTATAGACGAGCTGGAGGCCAGGGAGTCTCTATAGACGAGCTGGAGGCCAGGGAGTCTCTATAGACGAGCTGGAGGCCAGGGAGTATGTTTATGGCAAAATCGGCAAGTTGGAAGTCAGGGAGTCTCTATCGACCAGTTGAATGTCAGGAAGTATCAATAAAAGCCCTGGAGGCCAAGCAGTCTCTATAGACGGGCTGGAGGCCAGAGAGTCTCTATAGACGAGCTGGAGGCCAGAGAGTCTCTACAGACGAGCTGAAGGCCAGGGAGTCTCTATAGACGAGCTAGAGGCCAGGGAGTATGTTTATGGCAAAATCGGCAAGTTGGAAGTCAGGGAGTCTCTATCGACCAGTTGAATGTCAGGAAGTATCAATAAAAGCCCTGGAGGCCAAGCAGTCTCTATAGACGGGCTGGAGACCAGAGAGTCTCTATAGACGAGCTGGAGGCCAGAGAGTCTCTACAGACGAGCTGAAGGCCAAGCAGTCTCTATAGACGGGCTGGAGGCCAGAGAGTCTCTATAGACGAGCAGCTGGAGGCAAGGGAGTCTCTATAGACGAGCAGCTGGAGGCCAGGGAGTCTCTATAGACGAGCAGCTGGAGGCCAGGGAGTCTCTATAGACGAGCTGGAGGCCAGGGAGTCTCTATAGACGAGCAGCTGGAGGCCAGGGAGTCTCTATAGACGAGCTGGAGGCCCGAGAGTCTCTATAGACGAGCTGGAGGCCAGAGAGTCTCTATAGACGAGCTGGAGGCCAGAGAGTCTCTATAGACGAGCTGGAGGCCGGAGAGTCTCTATAGACGAGCTGGAGGCCGGAGAGTCTCTATAGACGAGCTGGACGCCAGAGAGTCTCTATAGACGAGCTGTAGGCCAGAGAGTCTCTATAGACGAGCTGTAGGCCAGAGAGTCTCTATAGACGAGCTGGAGGCCAAGCAGTCTCTACAGACGAGCTGGAGGCCAAGCAGTCTCTACAGACGAGCTGGAGGCCAGCTAGTCTTTATAGACGAACTGGAGGCCAGCCAGTCTTTATAGACGAGCTGGATGCCAGCTAGTCTCTATAGACGAGCTGGAGGCCAGCTAGTCTTTATAGACGAACTGGAGGCCAGCCAGTCTTTATAGACGAGCTGGATGCCAGCTAGTCTCTATAGACGAGCTGGATGCCAGCTAGTCTCTATAGACAAGCTGGATGCCAGCTAGTCTTTATAGACGAGCTGGATGCCAGCTAGTCTTTATAGACGAGCTGGATGCCAGCTAGTCTTTATAGACGAGCTGGATGCCAGCTAGTCTCTATAGACGAGCTGGAGGCCGGATAGTCTCTATAGGCGAGCTGGAGGCCGGAGAGTCTCTATAGACGAGCTGTTGGCCAGGGAGTCTCTATAGACGAGCTGTTGGCCAGGGAGTCTCTATAGACGAGCTGGAGGCCAAGCAGTCTCTACAGACGAGCTGGAGGCCAGCTAGTCTTTATAGACGAACTGGAGGCCAGCCAGTCTTTATAGACAAGCTGGATGCCAGCTAGTCTTTATAGACGAGCTGGATGCCAGCTAGTCTCTATAGACGAGCTGGAGGCCGGATAGTCTCTATAGACGAGCTGGAGGCCGGATAGTCTCTATAGACGAGCTGGTGGCCAGAGAGTCTCTATAGACGAGCTGGAGGCCAGCTGGTCTCTATAGACGAGCTGGAGGCCAGCTGGTCTCTATAGACGAGCTGGAGGCCAGCTGGTCTCTATAGACGAGCTGGAGGCCAGCTGGTCTCTATAGACGAGCTGATGGCCCAGCTAGTCTCTATAGACGAGCTGATGGCCCAGCTAGTCTCTATAGACGAGCTGATGGCCCAGCTAGTCTCTATAGACGAGCTGATGGCCCAGCTAGTCTCTATAGACGAGCTGATGGCCCAGCTAGTCTCTATAGACGAGCTGATGGCCCAGCTAGTCTCTATAGACGAGCTGATGGCCCAGCTAGTCTCTATAGACGAGCTGATGGCCCAGCTAGTCTCTATAGACGAGCTGATGGCCCAGCTAGTCTCTATAGACGAGCTGATGGCCCAGCTAGTCTCTATAGACGAGCTGATGGCCCAGCTAGTCTCTATAGACGAGCTGATGGCCCAGCTAGTCTCTATAGACGAGCTGATGGCCCAGCTAGTCTCTATAGACGAGCTGATGGCCCAGCTAGGCTCTATAGACGAGCTGATGGCCCAGCTAGTCTCTATAGACGAGCTGATGGCCCAGCTAGTCTCTATAGACGAGCTGATGGCCCAGCTAGTCTCTATAGACGAGCTGATGGTCCAGCTAGTCTCTATAGACGAGCTGATGGCCCAGCTAGTCTCTATAGACTAGCTGATGGCCCAGCTGATCCCTGTAGACGAGCTGGTGGCCCAGCTGGTCTCTATAGACGAGCTGGAGGCCCAGCTGGTCTCTATAGACGAGCTGGAGGCCCAGCTGGTCCCTGTAGACGAGCTGTTGGCCCAGCTGGTCCCTGTAGACGAGCTGGAGGCCCAGCTGGTCCCTGTAGACGAGCTGGAGGCCCAGCTTGTCTCTAGAGAAGAGCTGGTGAAAGAGGAGGCTAGCTAGAAATTTTGTATTTTTGATTTTAAAATACTGTCCTATTTTTTTCAAAAAAAAAAAAAAGGAAAAGAACAAATCCAATACCAATTCAAAATGAATTGAATAGCGGTTTCGCTTCAACGGCAATTGCGCCGTTTCAGTGGGCCATCAAGCGAATAAACTTCAAATAAAATAATTTAGTCGAGATGTTGTTGTTACAGCTACAGCATTAGCTATGGCAGCGGTTTGGAAAAACAGCAGTTAGATATTACAAAATATTCCAATGGAGATGCAATCGCCACACACACACTACCTAACAAATTAATTACAACATCGCAATGTAATAATATCCAACGATAGCATCGGCGATTTCGATTGTTGTTGTTGCTGATTTTGCCGGTCGTATTGGCGTTTTGCCGCTTCACTATTATTTGCACAGTGTGGTGTGAGCGATGGTTTCTATTGTTTACAGATCGAGTAATTTGTCGATTGGTTCTAAGTTTGGAATTTTCATAAATGAATTGAAAAAATCAATCTTAAAATATTGATTGTTATTCGAACGGTCAATAATCTTTGCAATTTCATAATGGCAACAATAACTACTTTTTTATGATCATTGAAATCAAATTAAATATAGAAATCGAAACAGAAGCGACGCCATGCAATGATGCATTCAAAAACATCCACATCATCGTCAGACGTGTTAATTTTATTCATCAAAAAAAAAAATTGAAATGAATATTCAAAAAACTATTATTATTACAACATATGATGGGCAATGGCGCATATGATCTTCATAATTATGATGAAGATGATCATCATCATGTTTGGTATCGTCATGATGATCATAATCACGATTATCATGGCTTAACAGCTATTTCTTTGGCTATTGTTTCGTTTCGAGTTTTGGCTTTGCATAAATAACTCTTTGGTATGCGCGAAGCGACGCTAAGCGATTATCACAGTTTGATTTTACTCGCTCGCTCACTCACGATTTATGCACGTGACAATGACATTTAATATTTACAAAAAAAAACGACAACGACAACTTGTTCGATTAGTTGTTGTATTTTATCGCTGGGTGTAGATCTGCAGTTAAATGGAATTTTCGACGATTCATCACCTTTTAGATAAAACAAGTAAAAAACCAGATAAGTTCGGCTCTCCACCACGAAGATGGAAGTTGTAAAAAAATCAAAATTTCAGGTTTTATATTTGTATGGGGCCTTTAAAGCCAATTATCTGCCAGAGAAGAATCTATGCTAAAATTTTGACCTATATGTCGGAAATAGTATCAAATTTTAAAATAAGTTTAGATTTCTTCGAATTGGTCACTTTTGGCACGAATTATAGCCTTCAAACGGCCAATGGCCAAACCAAACGCTGCCCGAATGTTGATCTGCGGTATTTTAGCCCATTTCCGGCGAAGCGCTTGCTTAAGGTGATCGACACTTTGGTATTTTTTATTGCCAATCTTGCTTTCCAAAATACTCCAGACACAATAGTCCAACGGATTGGTATCCGGAGATTTTGGTGGCCATTGTGTGTTGGAAATGAAGCGAGAAACCTAATTCTGTAACCATCCTTGGTGCTGAGTCCTGTTGGAATGTCCAAGGTCTGCGGCCAAAATGCTTGCGTGGTCAAGGCTTTAATACACCCTCCAGAATATTTTTTTGCGATAATATTCGAGCGTTATGGCGGCCCACACCATCACCATGGCCGGTGTTTGAGTTCTGGTGGCCAACTGTAAATGCACATTTTCAATTGGCCTCTTTTGCCCATATTCGACGGACCCATCTGGCAACGCCATAACTTTTGACAGAGATGTCACATCGCTTAATGACATACCGCGTTTGAAGCGTCAGTCCAAGCAGATTTTTACCATGAACCAATACATGCCACGCGAGCGCTCTGAAATAGTTGAAATTTACATTCAACAGAAGAAGTCATTTGTGAAAACTCAACGTGCTTTTAAAAATATTAAAAAATGTGAGAAGTGCGCCTTCTAAGAATACCAT